TGCTTCTCTGACAAAACACACAAGGTGTGTACCAATGCGCCACCACTGAAATACTGATGGGTAGAGCAGGGGCAGGGAGACAGCACTGCCCATCCCTCCTCTCAAAGAACAGAAGGGAGGAGGCAGAATGGACATGATGATGCTGAGCACTACCCGGGCAGCCCAGCCCAGCACTGGGCAGGGAGGCAGCAGAGCCACAGCTCGGGGCTCTTCTGAAAAGCAGGTACATGTTTTAGGCCTCTCTTTGCTTTACTAAAATGGTGCAAGCTCTGAACAACCCTCAGAGCTGGGTAACATGAGTAACAGCGATCAGTATGTTCATAGAATGCCAGAGTGGTTTGAGTTGGAAGGGACCTTAAAGCTCATCCAGCTCCAAGCCCTGCCACGGGCAGGGACACCTCCCACTAGAGCAGCTTGCTCCAAGCCCCTGTGTCCAACCTGGCCTTGAACACTGCCAGGGATGGGGCAGCCACAGCTTCTCTGGGCACCCTGTGCCAGCACCTCAGCACCCTCACAGGGAAGAACTTCTGCCTAAGAGCTCATCTCAGTCTCCCCTCTGGCAGGTTAAAGCCATTCCCCTTGGGCTGTCCCTACAGGCCCCTGTCCAAAGCCCCTCTCTAGCTTCCCTGCAGCCCCTTTAGGCACTGGAGCTGCTCTAAGGTCTCCCCTTCAGGAGCCTTCTCTTCTCTGGGCTGACCCAGCCCAGCTCTCTCAGCCTGGCTCCAGAGCAGAGCTGCTCCAGCCCTTGCAGCATCTCTGTGGCCTCCTCCAACAGCTCCACATCCCTCTTGTGTTGTTGCCCCAGAGCTGGATCAGGACTGCAGGGGCTCTCATGCACTGTCATAGTTTCAGGGGTTTAATCTTGTGGGAAATGGTTAAAAAAAGCAATACCCTGAGCCAAGCCATCTCTAGCAAACTCTTGAGTGCTGCTGCAACATGATGCTTGGGCTGTTACCTGTGGTGAGTTTGCTCCCGAGTCCTATAACATTTGTTTCATCACTTAGGGCCAAAAGAGGGACCAGCGAGGTCCTGGTAGCACTGGGCTCAGTGGAAGAGGCTGTGCTGGGGACAGCCCTATGTCTTGCTAGGACAGACACAAATACAAGCTGGGACCATCAGTTTGAAATTCTGTCCCCAGCTACCCAGTCTGAACAGCACAGGGGTTTTTAAAGGACTGGGCAAGCAACAGATCCACCACAAATCCACTGGCCACCACAAGTCTCTCTATGCAGCAACACAAATGACTTTCCTCCTGGTTCCCCACTGTAGCCATGCTGAAATCTCACCTTGTGCATTGCCTGTCCTCTCCTCATGGAATACAAACTGCTTCACTTTGCCCTGAAGATCCCGGGGCTCAGCTTCTCTCCATCCTCACCTCTAATTCACCCCTAAGCATACAGGGAGCATTTGGGACAAAGCTTCAAGAACGCATTCGACATAAATTATTCTTCCCCTCCTAAACTGATTACAAAAATCCTTTTAATACAAAATATTGAAATGCTCAAATTATTGGTGTGGAAAAACATTTCCTGGAGGTAAAGTTTTTCCGAACTGAGGTTTTAATCGCAAGCATAATCCTTTCTGGCTAACATTTCCTGTCTTGTGAAACATGGAGAGAGAAATTGCGCAGAGGCCTGGCTGGGCTATGAACAAAGAAAGATGCTGCCTGTAAATAGCTTAGAGGACATCAGAAGACACTTCTCTCATCAGCAATCTTTTTTAGCTTAATATAGCTCCTCTTTGCATAAAACATTGACATTTTTGCAATGTTTGGACCCAATGGTGCGAATGCTGACTGTCATCCAAAGATACTGGAGTGTACCTTCAAAAATATGCAGGAACATTTTACAGACAGTAGTTTCACTTGCCTCCAAAATGCTCTATCTTAATATTTTATACTTATATATATTTAAATGTTAGTACCACCAGATAAATGCTAACATGCTTTTATGCTAATGCAATCACTGAAAATCCAGATAATGTTGTGTATTGGCACATACTGTTAGTGAATTATGGATACCTAAATGTACAATCCCACATGCCTAGCAATTATTTTTGTTAGTGCATTTAACTTTTATTTGCAATCAGAGCACTTGAGGATTGTTCAAATGAAGTTTACTTTCATAAACTGCTGAATGGAAAACATTTTGTTAAAGGTTTAAAACCAGTAAGGCTGTGGATGAGGTTTGTGGAGCTGCAATAAGGGCACTGCTCACAACACTCTACCAGATGGAACAATGTTTGATTTGGTCACGGACTCAGTGATTATACCCCAAACACCTAAAGTGAAGGACACATAAGAGAAACAAGAGCTGAAACCTTGATTTCTTCCCTACCAGGTCACCCTCTTATGTAGCAGAGGCTCACAGACAGGCAGATGGATGTCAGGAGGACAGTATCAGTGCAGGCAGCACTCTGGTCGCTAGACCCTAGGACCCTGAGGACCAAACTAGGCTGTGCTAAGGCTGCTTTTCAAGTCCAATTTAAACCAAATAAATAGGAGTGATATGAGGAGGGAGAAATCTTCAGCTGCCCCTGCTGTGCCTTCTCTTTCTGTTTCTCCTATTACCTTTGCTGATCCAATGTTTTGGCCAGGCACCCAGCCTGTTGGCTCAAGATGCTGATCCACTTGAAAACCCATTTATCCCAAACCAGTCTTCAGCACTGCCAGACCTCTGGGCCACATCCCAGCCCGACAGCATGCAGGCAAGACCCTGAGTGATGCAGCTGCCTGCTCCATCCCTTACCCGCTTCACTGCCTGATCACAGTTAAGGACAACGCAAATCTGGAGAAGACCTGGATATTTTTAAGAGTTGGAAAGTTCTGGATGTGCCCCAAGCACGTCCCAGGGTCTGGTGGCTTTCTGCTGCCTACAGACAATGCCGAACTCCCTCTGCCAGATCCAGCTATGCCAAGAGTTAATGACCTCCCAGACTGCATTGAGGAGCTGCTATGATCATGTCTTGATTTCCTCTGGGAAGCTTTGCCTGGCTTGAAACCACCAGCCTGAGCCAACCTGGCTGAAGTGACCTGGGAGGTGGCCACAGACCCATTTGGTGAGCAGCAGATCATCACCTGGCTCAGCATCCAATGCAGGACCTGACATCAGCCTCAAGTACGTAAGTATGGATCAGATCATGCCCCTATCGCCCAGTGAACTGTGGCATCTCTAGGCATTTACTGGTGAGTCCCACAACCTAACTGAGGCCCCAAGGAGCAACCAGGAGTGAAGGAAATAAGCAACAACCCCTCAGAAAAGCACAGGGCATGAGAAGATGCTTAGTGTGAAGTACCTGGAATGCCCCAGGCAGTTTAAAAGGAGCACAGAGTAAGCAGAGAAATGTACAAACAAACAAATTAAGCAGATAGCACAAACCAGACAAGTTGGCATGGATGTATCTAATGAGAAAGCTCAAACACAGCAAGCAAAAAGCAAACCCAAAACCCAGACATAATACTCCTCACATTTTGGAGCTGAGCTCTCAGACAACACATCATCCAAACCACCCCAAATTACCACCTGGCAGAATGTCCTTTAAGACAAACAGTCTAAAAGTTTTCAAAGCAGTATTTTAATACTGTATAGAAAAGAGATTGTTTCTGTCCAAAGAAGCACACTTGCAATTAAGTGAGGGATGCTATACAAAAGCAGTAGTTTCATGGGCACTGCTACACGCTCCTATCATGAGCCCATGAGTTCCTTCAGTCTTGACCATGCCACATCAGTTAATTCAGGAAAGAAGCAACTTCATAGCCCTTGTCATTTTGCAAGTTACCTGCAAACGTTTCCAGACCCTCTGCGTGCTCTTCTCTTTAACGGAACATAGAATTAAGAACCTAGATGCTATTGAAAGAACTTTAGGAAACAATGACATTATTTCAAACATTAAGATATGCCAGAATATGAAGAGCAGGTTTGTGTTCTGATGTGAAAGACTGTATCTTACTGTGATCAATAAGGCAAGCTCTGTTTCAGACTATAAGTTGGATCCTTTCCTGGTATAAATCTGGGTACCTGCTGCTGTCCATAAGGCCATATTCCTTCATATGTGCTGAGGAGCAACTGCATTGTATACAAGATTGCAAAAGAAATGTAGATTTGTAAACTCTATGTTAAACTAAGTGATAAATGATGTATAATGGCGGAGAGGTGACTATTTTTAGGCCTAGAAATAGGCAGATAATAACAGTCCTGACTTTCAATCATCACCTCTGCACTTCTGACCCTGAAGTTTGGGTCCATCCAATACATTTCTAAAGCCTCTGCGCTTGTCTGTGCTGTGCGCAACACCCCCCCCCCCCCCCCCCCCCCCGCCAAAGCCCCCAAACCCATAAAACAGGAAGGTCACCAATAAAACCCATCTTGCTCACACAGTTCCACTTGCAGCACTGCATGCTGTGCCCTAGCATGAGGCAAACTGGGCTGCTTTGGGCAACAGCCACCTTCCAGTGAACCACAAATGTCCTTCAGATCTGCCGACCCCACCATGTCTAATGGACACCCCTTTGGGATCCAAGGTCTGTGTCCCCGGGGATAAAGCCCCCCTCCAAAGACCACAGGAGTTGCTCTATTTCTGAAATCAGCATCTTGCTACCCAAAAGCAGCTCAGGAGAAAGGAAAAGGAGGAGAAAGGTGCTCCCTGGGGTGCTCATAACAGCACCATCCTCCAGATCCTCCCCCAGAGCAGGCCGCCAAGGGGAGAGAAGGGGAGGCAGGGTTATTCCTCTCAAACTCCATAAAAGCAAGAAGCCCAGGGAAATCAAGAAACAACCACAACTTCCACACCCAATTGCTTCTGGCTAAGTCTAACAAGCAGGATGAGGACTCACTGAGGAGGAGATCAGGGTAAGTGGTGCTGCAAGAAAAGGGTTAGGCAGCTGAGAAGACAATGTGGTGGTTGCAGGGTGAGAGAAGCCATCAGCTCCTGCTGTTAGGAATGACTCATGAGCTGGGAGATGCACAGGGCCCGTGGGTGTTGTGAGGGGTACCAGAGCTCACCTGGACAGCGCGGCTCCCAGGACGAAGGCAGCGTGCTCCTTCAGGGTGGCCTCGGTGCTGTTCAGCCCATGGATCACCAGCTGGAGTCCGCCCATGGAGAGGAAGTCCTTAGCATTGTCCACCTGATGGGGAGAGAGCAGGCCCCCCATGAGCAGAAAACCCCCAGCCAGACTCCACACAGCAACCCCTGGAGAGCGCCTTGCTCCAGGAAGCACAGCAGCTCTTCCCTCCTGGGCTAACCAGGGCTCAGTTTGCAAAAGCAAGTACAAAGAGGGAACAACTGTGGCTTGAATTTCATCCAGCAGTGCCTGTGAGCAGGGGTGTCATGGTTGCAGAAGCACAGTCTACTGACAGGTGGCTGTTACCACACACTGAACACTCACGTGCTTTGATTAGCTATCAAAACCATGCTTGACACACACTGCAGTATTCAGGTGATGTCAAAACTGTGGTCAATAATATCATGTTAGAAACCCCACTAGTTCTGTGCTTGCTCTCCCCTGAGCAGGCCTTTGCTGGGAACCCAGGGAATTGCTTGTTTTGCAAATGCAATTAATTAATTGATGCTCTAATTGCAGCACCAGGAGCTGGGGCTGTTTAAGAGCCTGCCAGCAGCCACAGCACACAGGCAGCATCACCTCTGCTGGCAGCAAAGAGTATGGGTGGCTCCGGGCTTTGCTCATGAGGACCATCAACAACTTCATGTGGATGTGTCAAGGAAAAGCCAGTGCCTGCTTAAAGGGGCCAGCCAGGGTGTTCCCCCTGGGACAGCTGAGCAATGAGTTTTCTAAAGCAGACAATACTGGACTCAGTGCCAGCAGGGACAAGTTTAAATGCTGGTGGGGATTCCTCAGTCTCTGACTTGAACCAGACGTGGGGCTAATGAGGCACAAATCACAGTGGCCATCTGTTCTTGGAGAGGAGATTAAGAAGAGTTCCAAAGGGCTTGCAAACAAGATCCAGAGAAACAGCACAAAATGCTTCAAGTACAGAATTCAGTCCAAAGTCAAATCGATGCATTTGGGTTTTCAAGGATGTTTTTCTTTTTTTTCAGTTTAAAAAGGAATCTCATGAACACTCAGAATTGTGTGTGCAAAAAAACTGGCTTTAGGATTTCAACATTTCTACTCCCTGGAAGATGGTGAGACAACAGCAGATGGTCTGGAGATGGCAAGGAGATGCTGCAAGGGCTGGAGCAGCTCTGCTCTGGAGCCAGGCTGAGAGAGCTGGGCTGGGTCAGCCTGGAGAAGAGAAGGCTCCTGAAGGGGAGACCTCAGAGCAGCTCCAGTGCCTAAAGGGGCTCCAAGAAACCTGGAGAGGGGCTTTGGACAAGGGCCTGGAGGGACAGGCCAAGGGGAATGGCTTTAACCTGCCAGAGGGGAGACTGAGATGAGCTCTTAGGCAGAAGCTCTTCCCTGGGAGGGTGCTGAGGCGCTGGCACAGGGTGCCCAGAGAAGCTGTGGCTGCCCCATCTCTGGCAGTGTTCAAGGCCAGGTTGGACACAGGGGCTGTGTCCCTGCCCATGGCAGGGGTTGGAACTGGATGAGCTTTAAGGTCCCTTCCAACCCAAACCAGTCTGGGATTCTGTGATTTTATGTTAGCAGACAGAAATAGAACATAAAAACAAGTTATCAGCTGGGCACACTGACCTTCCCTGCTGTGGTGGGACAGCACAAACACCACAGCGTGTGCAGCTATGTCAGGCTCAGGCACCATGCTCCAGCCTGAACATTCTCAGTCAACAGTGACTTCATGCTTAGTGTTATATTTATCTCAACTGTGTACCTTCACCAAAATTGGCCATAAGTCAGATATTTTAGGCACCTAAGAGAATGAGGAAGCTATTTAGTTTTATGTCCTATGGGTATGTCTTTACCAAGGCAGAACCTGGGGAGCTGCAGCTCATCTCTTCTCCCCAACAGGACAATACCCGCCACTTGCTGTCCCTCTGCAGAGCTGGCGACAGAAAGCCGATCTCCACAGGTCTGCTGGGGCTGATTCAGGATTCGCAGCAGCTTTTGTATCCTTTCAGATCCTATTCTTTTAATTGTCCCTATAATATGGACCTGCAGACCTCTTGCTTTTCTGCAGGCCCATCTTCATCTACAAAGAAATCTATGCAGCAACCCAATTTCAGCTGCCAATGGGTCCTTTTATTACTCAGCCTCTGTAAAAGCTCCAAGGCAGTTTTAATGCTGGAATTGGACATTGACTTCTGCTCAAGAGCGAATGCACTGACAAGCAGAAGTTTGCATCCAGCATCAGCATTGGTAAAACCAACCCTTGCTATAACCTCATAGCAGCAGAGTCCTTCAGGTCAGCCCCAGCGTCACCGAGGCGCTTCAGCCACAGAATAGAAATTGTGCTGTAAAGTTTATCTTGAAGATGTATTCATTTTTTTTAACTGGAGTCTGCTGTGAGAGCTCCCTCCCTCCCTCACCACTCCAAACCCAAGAAAACCCCAAACTCAAAGAGCTGAAGTTATTAACCTCTCCAGGAGGCAGGGGATGCTGTGAGGCAGCAGCTCCTGCCTCGCTTCAGTCCACTGAAATCAGCACAGAAGAAAGCCAAAGATCAAAAGAGCTCTTGAGTAAAGTACACAGGCAAAATGGGTGAGGAGAAGGGTGGGAGAAGAAGGAATATGACAGCAGTTATGCAGGGAGCGGCTTTGAATCAGAAGAGAAAGAAAACTGGGAGGGAAGGCAGGAGAGAAGATGTTAGGAAATGAGAGCAAGGAAAGCAGCATGTCAACTGTATGCGATGGAGAGGAAATTAGCAGTGAGAAATGGTGTAGCATGTCAGAGGAGGGGAGAGGGGAAGATAAGGAGAGTAAATAATTGAGAGAAAGAACCTGCAACGCCTAAGAATGGGTCTTGGCTCTGTACACTGCTGTGCAAGCACTGTGAATTCTGTTTATAAATGAGTTATGCTCTGGCCTCTTCACATTTGCATTTGTTTTTTATGTGTTATGGATAACCTCGCAATCCAAACCTTCCTGCTCCTTCTCCAAGGTGGGCTCCCAACCACACTGACTTGAATCCTGACAGATAAGAAGCAAACCAGAGCTGGCAACCAAAAGCTGAGCAAACACAGAGCCCTTGGGCTGCCTCCTCATGAGCAGGAGAGATCATCTCTTCATCAGCCACAGCTTCCCCTCTGCTCCCTCGCGGCAAGCCCACGCTGCTCCATGTCCCAGTGCTCCAGGATGCTCATCACCACACCACAGAGCAGAGAGCACCCTTTGCCTGCAATCCCTACAGGGCATGGCATTTTCCACTTGACAGGGCATCTTGTGCCCTGGAGACAGCAGAAGGGCAGCTGAGAGCTGAGCGATCACCAATAGCAGTGGCACATTACCATTCAGATGGAGGTGGGAGACGAGGGAGCAGCAGAGCTGTCACTGGTCCCACAGGGCCACCCTCACCTGCGAGGATCCCATCCTTCAGCAGCAGGGATATGCTCACTGCAGAGGACTCTGACAAGTCCAGCCCTTCCAGGGTTATGCGGCACAAGGGTATTTGGCTGCTCTTCAGTAATTACATTAAGCCAGTGCTGCTAAAGTCAGTACCAAGCAGAGATAATGCTCTGGATGCATTCAACTGGCTGGAAGAAGAAAGAGGAGGAAAAGCCATGCTGGCTTAGAGACAAGTCATATTTCTTATCAGCTTCCTGCCTGATGAGAAGGTGCTGCCCAGCCATCTGCCCCAACAGTGCAGGCACAGAGCAACGTTGTGATCGATGCACAAAGGGGTCCTCTGTGCTCCTGCCAGCCTCCCTGCCATTCCCCCTTTCTGACCCCTCTGATGCTGGATGTGGTTCCCTTTGATGCTCCAGTCCCTGCTCCTCTTGCCTTTCTGACGTTGTTTGTCCCATCCCACGCTGCAAGCAGGCAGGATTTTATGCTGGAATAGTCCAGACTGGCACAGTGGAATCCAAAGCATTCCATGGAGTTTGGGGGTTGCTTTTTAGCATGCTGGCCTGATGCTCTGGCATCCTTAACCAGACAGAATTAGCCCTGAGTATAAATACGAAGCTCTTTGGGTGCCCATTGTTCACACTTATTCTCTGAGTCAGACAGATGCCATCAGTGAAACAAAAGCATCAAGAACAAACAGCAAGGAAGCCTCTGCATGTGTATGACAGATTCAGTGTGGAAACTCAAGACAAAGAGCTCTGGAAAAAAACAGTTCTATTAGCTGGTGCATGGACTCCCTCTCTCAGCAGCACATTCCTTCAGCTACCTTCCCCCAAAATACCAGAACTGTGTTTTAAGAAGTGAAAGGTCTTGCACTGGCATCTCCAAAGAGTTGCTCCATTCACCCTCTGCAATGATAAAGTCACTGAAAGTGATGCTGGAAACTCTCACGGTCTGCTCCAGACTCTCCCAGTCACTGGGGAGGGAGAAGCCTTTCCCAAGGAGTCCTTTCCCACAAGGCAGAACAGAGCCTCCATGCTCAGACACCCACCCGAGCAAAAAGGAGGAGAGCACTGTGCATGCAGCTGCAGCCAACAGGAGGTAGAGATGTGCAAGCTGAAAGCAGAGCAAGAGAGATCAGAGGGAGAGGGCATAAACCTGAGGAAGTGGGGGTTCAGGAAATACACTCAAGAGTCCATTAGCACAGCTCGGCTGATGCTCAGCAACTCGCCATTCACCTGAGCCTTCAGTGACTGGCACCACCAGCCCAGCTGTGAGAGAGGCTCTATATGCCACTTCCTACTCACACCAAGACAAAACACAGCTTTTTGGGTAGTTGTCATCTCCCCTGGTACAAAGACATTCTCTGTGAGCTGATGGATGGGCGCTTACCTGCAGCCACAGACTCCTTCTGCAGAAGGAGTGAGAAGATAATTCTTTTCTTAGCAGCCACCACTCTACTTATTCCAGATAAACCCCCATTTTGTAACATTAAACATATAAAAGAAGGAAAAGAGAGGGCAAGAAAATCAGCCAACAAATCAAGCAACACTCACCCTTAGGAAACTGCTCGCTACCAGCACGAGCAGTGATTTATTTCAACTCAGGTATAAAATAAGCCTGCAGTAGCCCTCTGCTGCCTGTTATTGTCCCAGGATTATGATAATTAAGCAATTTGTATTACCTGATACTGATAAGAAAAATAAAACCACATTTATGACACCGTATCCCCTGGATTTTACATGGTAGTTCCTAATGCGTTTTTGTTACCTGGTGAACATAATATTCAAGATCATAAAGCGCCGCCACTTTTTCATCCAGCGTGGAGGCAGAGCTGTTGAATTTGCTGATTAATTTCACCATAATTTCATAATCTGTCTCCATCTTCATGTTCAGCTTTTCAAACTCCTCCTTCAGCTGCTCGATGGGCCGGAACTTCTTCCTCACCTCTTCCTCATGGGCCTTGAAAGCAAAAGGAGGAAACCAGATCTGAAGGGAGTTGAAAAAGAGAGACAAGAAACATGTAGGAAGAAACCCCAGCCCCCTATTTATTAAGGGAACCTGGCTGTCCATTCAAACAGGATTTACTGCTGAGCATCAGAGATGCAGGGCAGTGTTGGAGGGTCCTTCTGAGAAGCCAAGGAGCCTAGTTATCTGTAAAATACCCACTTTGGTACCAGCAAGCACTTTCCAGGCCTGTACTGAGAGCTTTGTACACCAGTTTTGGGCCTTCCAAAACAACGTCAAGGCCAGAGGCAGGCATCACTGCTGTTCTCCATTTGCCTGCAAGTCAGTGTTCTCAAGACCTGACTGCAAACCCTCAGCAACTTCCCTGATCTCCCAACCCTGCCTGGAGCTGCAGATGGGGCTGGAGACATCCTGAGGTCCCTTGCAGCCTGAACTGCCCTGTGACTCCACACCAGTAACATCAAGATCTCCTTGGACACATACAAAGATGCATTCATCATCCCAATTGCTTCATAGAATCCCAGCCTGGTTTGGGTTGGAAGGGACCTTAAAGCTCATCCAGTTCCAACCCCTGCCACGGGCAGGGACACCTTCCACTGGAGCAGCTTGCTCCAAGCCCCTGTGTCCAACCTGGCCTTGAACGCTGCCAGGGATGGGGCAGACACAGCTTCTCTGGGCAATGCTTAACACAACTCAGGATGGCTTCATCCCTAAGGGAATCGTGTGCACTCACCATCAGGGACAGAATCTGTCAGAAAGAGAAACGGGAGGACCAGCTATAAGATGGGGACAGCTGAACTGCCATGCCACGGGGCTTGGCCAGCAGATAGCTTGTCCTGCAGCATGGCTCATCTCCCTCACACAGACAGCACCCCAAGGGCTGCAATGAACAGAGAGCTCTGGAAAGGCACATGGTGAGAAGGAAAAGACTGTCAGAGATCTAAGAGAGCCCCAGAGCTGGCAGGAACTGAGAAGATGGACAGCTGAGGGAATGGAGGGGGTTTAGTCTAAGAGAAGGCTCAGGGGGGACCTGATCGCTGCCTACAACTGCCTGACAGGAGGATGGAGCCAGGAGGGGCTGGGCTCTGCTCCCAAGGAACAAGGGATGGGACAAGAGGAAACGGCCTCAAGCTGCACCAGGGCAGGTTTAGATGGAGCTGAGGAACAATTCCTGCCCCAGAGGGTGCTCAGGCATTGGAACAGGCTGCCCAGGGCAGGGCTGGAGTCACCGTCCCTGCAAGTGTTCACACACCGTGTAGAGGAGGCCCTCAGTGCCATGGGTTAGCGGTGGCCTTAGCAGTGCTGGGGAATGGTTGGACTTGATCTTAAAGGTCTGTTCCAACCTAAATGATTCCATGATTCTGATTCTCCAGCACCAGCACTGGTGGCACTGGGACAGGCAGGGGCAGTGCCTGCTGCTGCAGGGGACACAGAAAGCAGTGAGCTCACACTGAAGATGGGCTTCCCCAAGAGCAGGAGAAAGCAAGAAAGCCCCCTTTGAAAGGGATTGTGTCACAAACATGAGAATACGTTTTTACACAGGAGTGACCCCAACTCAAGGGTTTGCACATGCAAACCTTGCAAACACTGCCCTGGGTGTGAACAGCAGCCAAGGCTGGAGCCACTGCAGAGAAAAACCCTGGCTGATGGAAATGACAGCATGGTCACCTAACTGCAGCCCTATAATCAGCACTAATGACTGCTGGCCTAATTATTGTAGGTACCATGGAGTTGCACAGACCACCATCCCCACCGCAGCCACACAGAACTGCTTTTGCAAGAGTGGTGATGGGAGCACGCCTGGTGTAACTCAATTTACTCTGACACAGTTACTTTGAGGATGAATTTGCTCCCTGCAGGAGTGATTTTAAATGGAGTACTTTAGGTGCATTAGGTGTAGCTGGTTTGAGCCCCATTGCTGGGACAACAGCTGTCCTCTAACAGGGCTTGTTAAAAAATGGCTTATTTTCACATAAAAGAGGATCACTAATTTTTGCCTTTAAATGACACTCATTTCAAGAAGTCCTGCTATTACTGATGCTGGCTGCTGCATAAGTAAACTTGTATATGCCCTGGTGCCAGACAAGGGGGTAAAAGACTTCTTATAACTCCAAGCCTTGACTCATACACAGTTCTCCTTTGACTGAGCCAGCACCAAGGCAGCAGGAGGACCTAGGGCCTAAGGAAATACTGCTGAGGGAAGAGGGGAGAAAGGCTGCCATCCTGATGAGTCTCATCCCCCGAGTGTCATGCCAGTGGCTAGGGACCAGCTCCAAGCCTGGTGAGGGCTGGAAGCAGCACTTTTATTCTAATTTACTTTGGGTTGTGGACTATGTGTAACTAAATAGGAAACTTGGAGCTTATATAAGTTAATGTCAGCCTACGCTTCACCATGGTCATTTGAGTTTTACTACCCAGGGTATGAGACTGAGACCTAAATCAAGGATGACAGTGAGCAGCAAAGTAACTTTCTTCACAAAGACCTCCATGCTGCAGTCCAGTCCACACTGGGGGACTGCAGATGTTCCTGTGAACCAAGTGGCAGTTGAATAAATAAATCAAATCAAAGGACAAACATACATCCAAACAACACAAAGGAAATCAGCCCCTGGCTTCACACAAGTGTGTGCAAGGGATTTGGTTTTTCATTATTCATTCAGGTCTAATCATGTTGCTATCAGAAAACTGAGGGAAGCAGCATTGCACTGGAGAGCTTCCTGACCATACCTGCTTTGGTTCACAGGAAAGACCCCATAGCTTCAATTGAGCATTGGTACAGCAAGAATCCTAGAGCCCAGCTCTCTCAGCCTGTCTCTGGACTCCCTCCAACAGCTCCACATCCCTCTCGTCAGTAAACTGCTGATCCCAGCCCATTCCACCACTGCAGCCCCTCTCCCCCCAACAGCCCATGGGATGATTATTACTGAGAAACACCCTCAACTGTAAGAGTACATTGAAGTACTTGTTAGCAGCTTGCAGCACAAGGCCTTGAAGTTTAAAGTTAATAAAATGGAACAGGACAAAAATTTTCCATTCTCAAAATCCAGGATTAGGACAAAAAGGGGTGAGTTTCCCAGGCAAATATATCACCAGCAGGCTAGCAAAGGCATTTTGGGTCCATAATCACAGAAAGATGTGTCTGCACAGTACTTTCCCAAGCAATTACTTTAGTAGTCCTATTTCTAGAGACATGTAATACAGGGTGTTCATATCCTTGTGCAATCTCTCCTTACCTTTCGTTCTGCCTTCTCACTTTCCTTCATTTTAGCCAGTGCCTTTTTGAGCTCCTGAGATGTGAATGAAGTTGAGTCAACATCTACCTTGCCCAGCCTTGCAGAGGGAACAAAACAAAACACGGTATGAGTGAACACTTGCATCTGTAATATTTTCATTGTGATGTACTAGCAGTGGAAAGTGTCAGGAGAAAAGGAACTAAGAGTGTTGAATTTCCAAGCATCTCGTTTAAAACAAAAAAAAAAACCCTCCACACTCAAGAAGAGATGAGTCTCAGTGCTATATTTTGTGTGTGATTTGTAGACACCTCACCCCGAAAGTCAAAAAAGTCTCCATAATCTGCACACTGACCCGAAATCTCAGGACCTAATACAATAAAAATAGGTGACTATGAAGACAGCCTCCTGTGAATACAGGCTGAGAGAGCTGGGCTGGTTCAGCCTGGACAAGAGAAGGCTCCTGAAGGGGAGACCTTAGAGCAGCTCCAGTGCCTAAAGGGGGTACAGGAAACCTGGAGAGGGGGTTGGGACAAGGGCCTGTAGGGACAGACCAAGGGGAATGGCTTTAACCTGCCAGAGGGGAGACTGAGATGAGCTCTTAGGCAGAAGCTCTTCCCTGTGAGGGTGCTGAGGCGCTGGCACAGGGTGCCCAGAGAAGCTGTGGCTGCCCCATCCCTGGCAGTGTTCAAGGCCAGGTTGGACACAGGGGCCTGGAGCAAGCTGCTCTAGTGGAAGGTGTCCCTGCCCGTGCAGGGGTTGGAGCTGGATGAGCTTTAAGGTCCCTTCCAACCCAAACCAGGCTGGGATTCTAGTATTAATTTATGCCTCTGAATTTAATGTTGCAATACAGAAGAGCAGGAAATGTTTCAGAGGAAAAACAAAGAATCACCACTGCCACTAAATCACCGCTAAGGACTTTTAAGCTTTAACAAAGAGATTTACGGTAGAAGTTCTAATGATCACCATATACAAAGTTAAAGCAAGCGTAAATCCGAGCAGAAGTCACACAGAAGTGCTAAGACTTGTGCTGCTCTTTATGCTTCTCTCGTTGGTTCAGAGAGTGTTTATCTGAGCCACAAACAGAGAAAAGGAAAGCCAACTGTTGAAGCATCATGAAGCTAAAGAGCTTCTCCATGCTCTGAAAAGGAAGAACTGGGGGAGCAAGGGAAGCAGAGGTAAATCCCCCACACTTGAGGAAACTGTTGCCCCATAAATCTGTCTTTGGTAGGAGGGTGTCAAAGGGAATGTCAGCACCAGTGAGACTTTGACAACAAATCTAAAGATGTGGGTACAGGGAGGTTGTGTGAGATCCAAGGAGAACACCAGCAGGCACTGATGTGTAAATGAACACTGGAGCCCACTGACTGCACCGAGCTAACACCATGGTACTGGCTCAGGTCAAGGCAAACAAAGCCCCTCACAAGTGCTCTGACAGTTCAAGCTCAGAAAGTTTAAGCTCAGATATTTCAAAGGACTGAAAGTCATACAAAGAAGCCACGTTGCAAATTTAGTTTCGGTGCCGTGGCATCAGAAACCATGAAGGTTGTCTCTGAACATGCACTCAGGGCACTTCTACCGCCACCCCGAAGGGATCACAAAGGACAAGGCTGTGTTTTCAGCACTGATGAACTCCTAAACCAGCTATTAAGTCTTGGGAAGAGACAGCAACTTAGTGCATCAGGGAACCTGGCCTCCAATGAAAGACATGAATCCCACAGCCCACCCACCCCGATGCTTTGCATCACTGTACCTTTTTCTTCTTCTCTCTTTTCTTGTATCACTTTTCCCATTTTCACTGTCTGGGAGCTTGACTTCTCTGTCTCCTGTCTGCATGTTCAGTCGTACGTGTGACCCTGCAGGAACAGCTTGACCTATAAGAAAAGGCAGGGTTATTTTAGAGCATGTGAGCTATTCCAGCTTTGTTAGGTAACATGAGGTGAAGGCACATGTTCCTACCCAAGAGAGAGATAAAAGCCTTGTCCCACATGGTGAACAGGAGAAGGAGATCCTCCACTAACTACTCTTCCCCCCATCAACACCCCTTAGACACAAATGTTGCTTTAACCTTACAGAACACAGCCCTATGCAACCAGCCCAGCTTGTGCTACAGGACCAAGCCCAGCAGAACATGAGCTCCCTCCTCCTTCCCAGGCCAATTCCTGATAAAAGCACTAAAGCTCCACATCAGGAGCGGATCTGGAATCTAAAGAAAGGGGAATTATTTGCTGATTAGGGTAGACAGCGTAAAGTACAGCTGCCAAAGGGAAATCAAAGCACCCGGCAGAGTACAGACAGGTACACGGAATATCAAGCATACAGAAGCGAGGCTGTGTTGGTTTGGAAATATTGTATTAAAAGGAATATATGATCACTAATATCTGCCAACAGAAATACACAGAATACATTAAGCTTTGGGTTTGCCTGCAGAAAACAATGGTATTCCTTGGTCACAATTCATGACAAACATATAGCGATAGCCAGCGGTTGTGCTGGGATACAGAGGAGGCCATATTTGGTTGCTGCTAATTGATGCTACTACTTGATTCTCCCCCTCTGCTGCACTCTCGGCAGACCCCCCCCCCCCTGCAGTCCTGATTCAGCTCTGGGGCAACAGCACAAGAGGGACATGGAGCTGTTGGAGGGAGTGCAGAGGAGGCCATGGAGATGCTGCAGGGGCTGGAGCAGCTCTGCTCTGGAGCCAGGCTGAGAGAGCTGGGCTGGGGCAGCCTGGAGAAGAGAAGGCTCCTGAAGGGGAGACCTTAGAGCAGCTCCAGTGCCTAAAGGGGCTACAGGAAACCTGGAGAGGGGCTTTGGACAAGGGCCTGTAGGGACAGGCCAAGGGGAATGGCTTTAACCTGCCAGAGGGGAGACTGAGATGAGCTCTTAGGCACAAGCTCTTCCCTGTGAGGGTGCTGAGGCGCTGGCACAGGGTGCCCAGAGAAGCTGTGGCTGCCCCATCCCTGGCAGTGTTCAAGGCCAGGTTGGACACAGGGGCTTGGAGCAAGCTGCTCTAGTGGAAGGTGTCCCTGCCTGTGGCAGGGGTTGGAGCTGGGTGAGCTTTAAGGTCCCTTCCAACCCAAACCAGGCTGAGATTATGGGATTCACAGGCACAAACACCACTCAGGGGAGAAAGCGAGGGCTGAGCTGGATCTTTCCCTCTCACAGCCAGGGCTTTTTCTTGCCAGGTCACACCTCTGGGACAGCCCAGGTTACACACACAGCACTCACTGAAGCAACTCCTAAACTGTCAGACAAGCAAGACATGACTGTCCCCATTAGCAGAGTACAGTATATTCTGGCTGTCGTGCTCCCAGTGCATCTGGCCACATTAGTGCACTCGGTTGCCAGGGGAGAGGAAGGGGGCTGATGGGTTTTGCTTTAAAGAAACACCAAAGGGGAAGTAAGGGAGCAGCCCCCAGAGGGCCCAAGGGACCCCCTGGCTCATCAACATCACGGCTTCTATTTTCAGCCAGCAGTAAGTAAAACACAAACCCCAGTGCACACAAACCCAGAGCAACCGAATTAAGGAGACTGCCATCAGAGAAGACACAAACTTTGCTTCTTTACACTTCCCTAAATGAGATTCGACCAAGATCATCCAACCCCCAGAGCAGAAATCCCAGCCTTGATGTATTTAAGCGGCTTTGGTTGCTGCAGGGATTTCTTCTTGCCCCTGTGCACAGCAGCACAGGTTCACGCCACAGCAGGACAAACACACTGCTTTATTAAATAAACCAAGAGAGACAGCTCTGTTTTCAGCAAAAAGATCGGTGTAGTCACTACAAAACATTCCAGACGTTTGAGATAGGATGAGGTCTCCAGTCTCATTTAGGCTGGGGTATTTAGAGCTGTATTCATAGTGTGTTTGAGGGTGGGTTGACTTGAACAATGTGATTAAAAATGCTGATTTAAATGAGCAACCTGGAAAACCTGAATTTTAATCATGTTTCACTATGTAGCTTCCAGACACTTCCCTTAAAAATAGTTGATTCTCTTTGATACCTTTAATTTGATACTACTCAACAACTGGGAGCACGCACCGGAGCAAAACGTATGTAAGCAATTACACAGCTTCATGTGCTGTTAATACAGACTCATACGCTTAATAGCTTTTTTCCTAGAGAAATTAATGTTTTACTTATTGTTCATATTAAGTTGCATTTGGGAAACGAAACTAATTAAAACCCTATCAAAACAAGTTTATATTTAAGCAATTTTCTGACCTTTTTTCTCCTTGACACCTTAGAAAAACAAAAGATGTCTATGCAAACAGAATGCATTGCATGTGCCTGTTACTGAACAGCCTTCACTTCCCAGAGACCTCCACACCCTAGATCTCATCCTGGCCTACTCCCCTGCTCCTTATAAAGGGAAAGAAGAGTTTCCATTCTAATTAATTTCTCACCTCCAAATTAACTACCTACTGAGTAGAAATAGCTGCAACCCCCTGCAGAACAGGCTAGCACTGGCAGAGGAGGAAGCCAGCGAACTCCTTCCTCCATAACCAGTGGTACCCTTTTCTCATACTTGAGAATTGTTTAAACCACAAGTAAAAGGATTTGAATACGTGTTACTGCATCAACTCGGCTTAATGGAGCTGAGAGAAAGCCATGGGGTTTAAGCAGACCACCTAGTGTCCCCAATGGGGACGTGCCACCCACCTGCCCCTGAATCATTTCACTCAGCTTTTCACCTTGCAGCCAAAAAGTAAAGTCCTTCCAGAGGGTAAGAAAACCCTTGTCACTGCACAAATGACATGGGATTTATTGGGAATAAATGTCAAAGTGACAGCTTTTATTTCACACGCAAGAGACACTGATCCTGTGGCAACACGCTGCTAGGAGGGTGTTATTCCCATTCTCAATTTAATCCTTTTATCAGCTGTGGAAGCAGCAGGAGAGGCTCTGCTCTCCCACACAACCACTCCGACTTTCCCTGCTCTCTGGAGAAGCCAGCCCCACACCTGGCTGCTGCCCACGTGTCCAGGCATCTGCAGCCTAAACCTCATCTATCGGAGGTCCTGCCTTCATCTTCCTTGGACGTGCTTGCTCTGTCCTGAGAGTTCCTTAACATGACACTGAGGAAGAATGTAATTTATAGCCCTGCTCCTTTAATCTTGGTCAGCCAGACTTTTTCAGACATCTGTTTATTTCTTCTTATAATACATTAGATGGAGTAACAGCTCCGGAGCTGGCTTCAAGGCAGCAACTCACTCACAGGGGTTCTGCTGACATTTATAAACCGATGCTATTCCCCTCTTGTGTTTTATGTTATCAGCTAAACCTGTCGACTTAAATTATTGCCTCGTAACCAAATCACAGTTATCTGTTATTCTGCTGTGTGTACACTGCCGAAGCTCTATACCTATATCAAGCCTCATAGAGAGGGAAAGCAAGGTGATAAATAAATAAACAAATGGAAAACAAAACATGCTTCCACCATGCTCCCAGCTAAGGCAAGAATCAGGCACGTTATATGCATGATAACTAAAAGCTGCTGTGCTGAATATACACCACATAATAATATCCAAGTAACCCCATTTCTCTCTTTCAAAAGCAGCCAAGTGACCAACTGTGTTTCCTCCCCAAATGAGAACAGTCTCATCCTGCCTGGCTCTTTTCCAGTACATTATCCCATTTAGTGCAGGCCACAAGGGGTTTTACAGTTCTGCATGCAGGCAAGACTGAGCCTCAACTCACGACACAGCAACAGGCAGGCATTAAAAATAACCAGGTAGGTTTCACATCATACACAGCTGCCCCATCCGCTACCCACCCCGTGGACCCTGAGCTGGGACCCATCGACATGCCCAGCTACAGAAGCCCATGAAGGGCACAAGACTCTCCCCCTCCAGAAACACCTCCCTGCACCACTTTACAGCACAGAAATGTCCCCAGGGAAGGCTTCTGCGAGCAGAAAAAGGCCAATTCTGCTCACCAAGGCAGAACCCTGGCTTCTCCCTGAGTGAGCACCTTTGTTTGCCATTGCAAAATACCCCAACCACATAAATCTATCCACAGTGTGAAAACAAGCCACAGTTACAAGTCAGTAACTGGCTCTGCAGCTCTCAGAAATCACTTGGGTATCTGAGAAGCATCAGATAACATCTACCTTTCTTTACTCTTTCTCTCAGCACAGGGGAGTGAGGGGAAAGGGACTTCCTGATACAGACAACAGAAGAATCTGCAAATCAATCCATGGATGTTGGCAGCAAAGCAATATTAAAAACAATAAGGCTGCACAAGACTGACAGAGCATCCTCACAAAGTGATCTGATAGCACTGACCCTGCTCCTTTAATAAAGCAGTGATTAAAAAAACCCACAAAGGAGACAAATTGCAGGAAGCAGCAGAGCTCTGCTGCATGAGTAGAGGGTGCTGAGGCGCTGGCACAGGGTGCCCAGAGAAGCTGTGGCTGCCCCATCCCTGGCAGTGTTCAAGGCCAGGTTGGACACAGGGGCTTGGAGCAAGCTGCTCTAGAGGAAGGTGTCCCTGCCCGTGGCAGGGGTTGGGGCTGGATGAGCTTTAAGGTCCCTTCCAACCTGAACCAGTCTGGGATTATGTGATCGCTGGCACCACCAGCACCAGGAGGTGGGTACCTGGGAAAGACTGGCGCATCCCATGTTGGCATGTATAGGACACAATCACCCTGGTGCTCACTCTCACTGCCTGCTCCTGCCTGGGGAGAGGACAGGATTCACACAAGCACAGTGCCCTGGCTGCAGGAAGATGCTGCCACTTCTCACGCTGAATGCTGGGCTTAGGAAAACCGAGGAACAAGTCCCAGTGAGATGGGCTCAACTCTGGCTCTGGTATCCCAGGTAGCACTGTGAGCAAGGAAACAGGAATGCCTGGTGGCAGGGTTTGGCGTT